GTACACACACGAAAAACGACGCGCTTATGCAAGCTTCTTAACACTCCTTCACAGTCAAGTACTTTTATTCTTATTAATAACGCTTTTTTTCTTTAAAAAATCTTTTCAATATACAACACCATTTTAGACGAGACAATTCTGTTTACAACTAAATTCAGATCAGTTATGGGTCATTCAGAACCTAGACGAGCAGACAGTGAAAAGGGGAACGAGACGGACAGCGCTAAAAATGAGAAATGGAGGTACATATCAGGAGAACTACAATTATTCATACGATTTCACAAGAAAAGAAAATATGAAGTCAATTCCCCAACTTAAAAAAAATGAAAAGCATAAAAAAACAAAAACGTAAGACAGAAACCAAGGGGTTGACCAGCACACGTTACACGTCCAATCGCTCGCTCATTCATGCAGAACAGTCCCGAGGGAAGGAAGGCACGCAGACCTTGCCTTCTCCCTTTAGTTTTTCATCTTTTACTTTTTGGATCAATAAAAATAAAACAAACAAAAGATAGATACAGAGTTCATGTGCCCAGGGGGCGGAGCCGGGGCAGCCGTCACTCTGTACGCGGTGGCGGGGGTGAGAGGGGGGCTCCATGCCCATCCTTACGCTCTCTGCTTAATGGCATCGCTCTCTCCATCTTTTCTCCACCTCCTCCTCCACACAGAGGGAGAAAGAAAACGGACGCGGTTTGTGTCGTGGGGCAGCCCTCAAAACAACTCAAGAGGGGGAGAGATAAAACAGACAGATGGAGAGAGGAGGGTGAAGGGGAGGGGGGTGGTGGTGGTGGCGTTCCTCGACCTTTGATCCTGGCACACTTCAACAGAGACTGGGTCACCCGAACAGTCCCCACACACACTCGCACACACTCCGCACGCCACCAGGGCTTCCCTGTTGAGAGATCACACGCATGCAAGTTAGAGTTCGTATTTTGATGTGTGTGAACAGAGTTAAAACGTGTGCTACCTGCTATCTGGATATATAGGTATACGTGCGGGACGGCGATCGTCCTTCCGTCTGCCCGTTGGTCGACACGTTGAGGAAGTCCCAGATAAGGATAGTGTCATCGTGAGAACTGCTGATGATCTGGAACTCGTCGAACTGCAGCCGGAACACTCGACCAGAATGTTCCTACACGCAGACAGACTATATTAAAACAATTCATCCACAACACTGCTGCAAATCAAAATCAGTCACAGACTGGGAATGGCGTGACGCAAGACTATGGTGCTATAAATGTGTGACAATGCAGAGGGCTGAGGGCAACTACACATGACCGAGATGAGTGACAGACCAGAGACTCTTAGGAGTGAATAACACAGAGCAGTTATCTTTAGTCACAGAGCCATTAATCAGCTGATGTTTGGGCATTTGAGATTATTGCTGCAAAGTATGTTGTCTTGTACACATTTATAGATTTGTCCTCAAGACGGGGAGATGGAAACTCACCACTAGTGTACGTAGACACAGAGTGCTGGCTGGGGCTCGTGGATCGAGAGCAGCTTGTAGGTCCCATACTTTAATTTTACTATGCACACACACACAAACATATTAAAACACATTAGACAATGCAAAAAAAAAATGACCGTCATAAGTCCATGGTACATCGGTTAAAATACCCTCTCTCAGTCTTATGTTGTAAAGCAGCTCTAGAGGCGCATTTCACACATAATCTACAGATAATCGGTGATTCAATTGTGGGCTTAAAAGTGACTGCTCCCTCAGCTGTGTGGGTATTGTGCACTGCTCATGTATCAGATTAATGACCGGAGCACAGGGAGCAGACAAATGCAACTCCACAATTAAAGATGTGAGAATAAAGATATTATTCACATTAAGGCCAGGAA